CCACCAGCTGCGCGCGGGGCGCACGAGCCGGCCAGCCTCCGGGAAAGGGTGCGGGGCGCCGGGGGTTCCTGCGGGAAGATGCGGAAGCCCGACAGCAAGATTGTGCTGCTGGGGGACATGAACGTGGGGAAGACGTCGCTGCTGCAGCGGTATATGGAGCGGCGCTTCCCGGACACGGTCAGCACGGTGGGCGGCGCCTTCTACCTGAAGCAGTGGCGCTCCTACAACATCTCCATCTGGGACACCGCAGGTGAGGCCGGCGCCGCCTGAGCCACGCCGCTCTGGGGCTCCGCCGGGGACCGGGGGCGCGGGGCTTCCAGCAGGGCACCCGGCCGCGCACAGGGTCCCGGCCTCGGACAGCAGATGCCTTCTTCTCGGGCTTTCCCACTCGTCCTCCCTTGCTGGTTGGGCAGAGCTCTGCCTGCTGAGCCGCTCAGTGACCTCAGCGACAATCCGGTTTGCAGAGAACCCGCTGGTCACTTGTGTACCTAAGCGGCCTTTGCTCCCGAGCCCCGCGTTCCTGCTCTGCTGCCCTGGGAACCAGAGACGCTCCTCGGTGGCTGCTTTGTTGGGTATTTTCAGTTTGTACGTACCCGTAGGAACATGATCTCCTTTAAGATTCACTTGAGGGGTGAGCAGAGCTGGTGCTATTAGCCCCTTTTTAAGAAAGAGTAAAATGAGGCACAGAGTGTTCCCCTGCTGGGTTTACTCAGGAGAGAGGAAATAGAACTGGAGCCTCCGGACCTCTCAGCCCGGAGCATATCTGCCTTTTACAGTTAATCTTCTGCTTGATCTTGGCTCAGATACGTCATATGGGTTTGGAGTGAGTTCCGGTGGAAGCATTTGTAAGATAGGTAATGAGTTATTTTTAGTGTGTAGTATTTGTGACTTTTCAAAAGTACAACTTAGAGGATCTCAATTCAAGCTCTCTGTTTAACATTGGAAAATAACACTGGTGATTGTAGCATTGCAATGGAATATATTTCCTTCTCCTTACAAAAGAATAAGATATTGTAAGTGAATGAAGAAACTGGATTCGTGTGACACATTTTCAATGAGTGTGAGTTTTCAGAAGCCTCAAACTCTGAAAGTTCTGACTTCTTTTATGTCAGCATTTTAAAAAGTCATATACCCAAAGGCCCCGTCCAGAGTTCTTAAATTGCCATCTTGGGTGCGACAGTATGCTGAATAAACAAGATGATAATTAATTCTCTCTTTAAAACTGAATTAACGAAGCTCACAGAGGTACTTCCAGTTCTCCCCCTCCCTTTTGCCTTCTTTGATGCTTGCTTTTTCATTATTATTCTCCCAGTTAACATCGTGACTAGTTTATTGGCAATCATCTTGTGAAAACAATGTCCCCCAGGTAAGGAGGTGCATTTCCCTGATCTTTGCTCCAGTTCTGTCTTCCGCCCCAGGCTGCAGGGTGAGGTTTACTGAGCCAACTCCCTCACACTGAGCATTTGTTAACGATGGAGCGCATGCTCTAGAAGTCAAATCGAACCCACTTCACGAACCCAATTTGCTTTTCTACAAAGTCAAATGGAACCTAATTTGCTTTTGTGCAAAGATTTGCCCCTCTGCTGCTTTCGCTGGCTGGCTGGGATTTACTGCTGCCCTTGGTTTACAAGTGGCAAGGTTAATGTAGGAGTGTCATTGGGGGACCCAAACCGAAACCCCTGTTGTGGCTGCCGTTGGAGGCAGACTCTTACCACACCGGGTGTTTCTGGAACAAGAGCTGCCCTGCAGTGCTGGAACAGCCCCTGCATTGGAGGCAATGAAGTAGCAGTTTTGTTTCGACTGGCCTCTTGCTTCTTCAGCACCAAGGACATGATGCAGCTGGAATCTTGATCACCAGAGGATTTTGCAATTGTGCTGATGTGATGCCCTAGATGTCTTGAAGCGTTCCTGGGGGCAGCAGCTCATTTCCTGGCATCCGAGGCTGCTGCTGCTTGTTCGAAAGATCCTAAGGGTGAATTACTAGAACTCCTCAGAACAGAGGGTGACCAGGCCCCTTCTCCACATTCCTGACTTCCTGTGTACTCAGGCGGCCCTGGCCCAGAGTTGGCAGGGACACAGGCCACCCTTGCCTGCCTCCTCAGTGGTCTGTGGCCTGACTGGGTACTTGAAGGAAAAAGAGAGGTAGGAACAGATACCTTTTCTATAATTATTGGAAATTCAGAATTTAACTTTTAGGGGACCCTATTCTTTTCCTTCTTTTGTTTAGCTCCTAAACTTTCTCTCCATCCCACAGACGTTGCTTTTCAAGTTGTCTGTGTTGTAATTGTCATAACCGAGGCAGAACGATAAGGACCAGCTGGAGGAGGAACCATTTTCAAAGTTGCTTTTAGCAACACAAGGCAGGGTGGGCTGGGGTGGGGGTGTAGGTGTGCAGAGGGTGACAGGATGTTTAATAGTAAAAACGATTGCACGGGGGTCGGTGTACACCCAGTGCCTGGCTGCTTGTAGCCTGTAAGGCAGGATGGAGCTGAAGAGGGAGAAGAGAGTTGGCAGGGTAGACGTACATTACCCTATTCCATTGACACAACAGCCCTCCAGAGGGAGGTGTGATTATTTGCATGTTAAAGATGGGGCCGGGCGTGGTGGCTCACACCTGTAATCCCAGCACTTTGGGAGGCCGAGGTGGGTAGATCATGGGGTCAAGAGATCAAGACCATCCTGGCTAACATGGTGAAACCCCCTCTCTCCTAAACGTACAAAAATTATCTGGGTGTGGTGGCGCACACCTGTAGTCCCAGCTACTCGGGAGTCTGAGGCAAGAGAATCACTTGAACCAGGGAGGCGGAGGTTGTGGTGAGCCAAGATCACGCCACTGCACTCCAGCCTGGCGACAGAGCGAGACTCTATCTCAAAAAAAAAAAAAAAAAGAAAAAAAAGATGGGAAGACAGGGCCACGTGGTGGCTCCTGCCTGTAATCCCAGCACTTTGGGAGGCTGAGGCGGGTAGATCACCTAAGGTCAGGAGTTCAAGACCAGCCTGGCCAATGTGGTGAACCCCTGTGTCTGCTAAAAATACAAAAATTAGCTGGGTGTGGTGGCTGGCGCCTGTAATCCTAGCTACTTGGGAGGCTGTGGCAGGAGAATCGCTTGAACCGTGGAGGGGGAGGTTGCAGTGAGCCAAGATCGCACCATTGCACTCCAGCCTGGGTGACAAGAGTAAGACTCTGTCTCAAAAAAAAAAAAAAAAAAAAGATGGGAAGACAGCAGAAGTTAAGTGGGATTTAGACCTTGGTTCATCCAACTCCAACTCACTTGTCTCATTATGCCGTTTTAGGGGGCACTTGTCGCTCCCAGCCCTCGTCTAATTGGGCACACACATGTGGAGTAGTTGCTATGCATGGGTGGGCACATCCAGGAAGCAAAAGGAGGTTGCCCACCGAGGAGGCAGAGCCCTAGAAAACATACGCCTGTGCTCCTCTCTGTCTGCTGGTTATTCAGGACAGTCTAAAGTGTTGCCTGTTGTTGGCAAATATAAACTGAGCTTCCCTGGTGCCAGACACTGTTTGGGCCCTTGTTCCACAGCAGTGAGCAGGCAGGCTGGCCGCTGCTCTGCAGGCTCTGGATTCCAGAGGAGGGGGAAAGGCAGGCAAGAAGTGAGTGGTACAGCTTCACATCTGATCATTACTTGGAAGAAAATATGACAGGCTGATGAGAAAGCGGCCGGTGTGCCCAGCACAGACCTAGTCCCCAGAGCCCTGGAGACAGAATGCCCTCCACATTTGTTTTCCTTCCCTTCTCAAGGCCGTGGCCTGGTGGGTGGTGGTGGGGGCACAACCTGGCTCACGTTTGCATACCCAGCACTTGGCCCTTGAAGAGCCAGCTTGGAAGGCAGCGGGGAGCCCAGACTTGAGCCGCTTCCCTATGCTGGCATCCAGCTCCAGCTGTGTCTCCAGGGACTGGGTGTTGGAGAGAGTGCATGCATTTTGCATGTGGAATGGATGCATGTCTGTGGGAGCCTGAAGCCAGGCTGTGACAGACAATAGTGGCCACTGCAAGGATGAGACATCCTGGTCTCTTGAGAGTCCTCTGGCCTTTGGGTCCTTCTGAGGCACCAGCAGAAGGTTATGTGGCCACGCCAGGGCCTCCTCTCCAGCACAGGCATTCCGGATGGTGGGCCTCCTAGTGTGAGCCTCCCAGCAATCTGCCTGACTGAGGACTTCCCACATCACCAACTCCTGCTCCTCTTCAGCAATTCTTCCCTCATCCTATCTGTTCTTCCTCATCTTAATATAAACAGCCAGAAAAATCCGCACCTTCAACACTGTGCTTGGAAATCTCCTCAGCTAAATATCCAACTTCATCACACATGGTTATGCTTCCCTCACAGCTGTGGGGCACGACTCAGCTGAGCTCTCTGGCACCACATCCTCACTCCTCCACTTCCGATAACGCAGTCCTCATTCCGACCCCAGGCTTCCACCTGTAATTGGCTCCTCCTGGTGGAGGTGTTCACTCTGAGGATGCAGGTTTTCTCTGCTATGCTTCTCGCTTCCTTCTGATTCCTTACCAGCAGGGCTGTTCATGTGCATCTTCCTGCCAACCATCTGTTTAGGCCAATCCAGGCTGCCTTCTCATGATCCTCAAATCCTCCCAGATCTGCCATTGCCCACTTCTAAAGCCGCTTCCATGTTCGTAACAGCCTCTCTCTGCTCCCAGTTCCAAAATCTGTGTCAGTTTCCTATTGCTGCTATAACAAATTAGTTACTTAAAACAACACAAATTTGTTGGGCATGGTAGCTCCTGCCTGTAATCCTAGCACTTTAGGAGGCTGAGGTGAAAGGATCACTTGAACCCAGGAATTGAAGACCAGCCTGGGCAACACAGGGAGACTGTCTCTACAAAGAATAAAAATGTTAGCCAGGTGTAGTGGGGTGCACCTGTAGTCCCAGCTACGTGGGAGGCTGAGGTAAGAGGGTTTCTTGAGCCTGGGAGCTTGAGACTGCAGTGAGCCATGATCATACCACTGCATTCCAGCCTGGGCAATGGAGCAAGACCCTGTCTCAAATAAATAAATAAAAATTAAAACCATAGATTTATTGTCTTTAAGTAGTCCAGAGGTCAGAAGTCCCAAATGAGTCTCTCACTGGGCTCAAGTCAAAGCTTGCAGGATTGCATTCCTTTCTGGAGGCTGAGGGAGGAACCTGTTTCTTAGACTTTCCTGGCTTCTGGAGCCTGCCTGATTTCCTGGCTTTATCCTCTCTCTGAAAAGGCAGTCCGGTTAGGTCTGTCC